ACCAGTATGTGTTCGCCCATCTGTGATATCTGGTGGGTTTTGCGCTTGTTTTCTCCTTTTCTCTTGTACACAGGCTATTTAGAAGTAAAATCGGGAACTACCGAAGATGACATCACAATGAAGTTATCCGAAATTATTCTGATCAATGATGTCTTGCAAAGGCACAAGAAAGATGGCGCTCCAATGAAAACTGTTACTGAGACATGGGATCACTTACAGGTAAGTAATTTTCATGTTTTTATTCACAGTGCTTCTATAATGGCTTATATCGGCTGTTTTGCAGATTCAAGTTGCCCTGTACTTCAACAGTGAATTATCCGGTCTTCCTCCCGAAATGCAGCCTAAAAAGGTTCCTTTATTTTGTTTTTGAAAAGATTGTTTAGAGTACCATTACAGGCTATGCGTGGGTTTACACAGCGATTGAAGGGAAAACAAGGCCGTTTCCGGGGAAATCTCTCTGGGAAAAGAGTGGATTTTTCTGGAAGGACGGTTGGTTTTTATTCAATTTTTAGTTATCCGAGGAAGAGAACATTCACTTTTTTTGATTTTGCTTTTGTTTCCTTGTAGCGTCGTAAAACTCGTAATATTCGAATTTCTTGAATCTTCTTCATTCCAGGTCATCTCACCAGATCCAAATTTGCGAATTGACGAAGTGGGTGTCCCAGTTTACGTCGCTCTCATTTTGACCTTCCCTGAGGTGGTCAACAATTACAACATAGAACGTATGAAGAAGCTGATTTTGAATGGGTCGGACATCCACCCCGGTGCCAATTACGTGATTGACCGTATTACTGGGACCAAACGGCTTTTAAAGTGAGTATACATTGAATTTTTGGTTATAGTAAACTATGCCGTTCAGGTATGGAAGCCGAGAAACATGTGCACAGAGCTTGAAAGTAGGAGATATCGTTGAGCGCCACCTGGATACCGGTGATATCGTGCTATTCAATCGGCAGCCTTCGTTACATAAAATTTCCATCATGTGCCATCGTGCACGCATTGTGCCAGGACGAACGTTCAGGTAGCACTGCTATCTGATGAATCGTTTCCGATTTTGAAGCTAGAGTATAGGTTCAACGAATGTGCTTGTACTCCGTATAATGCTGATTTTGATGGTGACGAAATGAACCTACATGTGCCACAGACATATGAAGCAAAGGCCGAAGCTAGTCTTCTGATGGGAGTGAAAAGTAACCTCATCACTCCTCGATCTGGCGAGCCGCTAATCGCTGCAATCCAGGTATGTATAACATTGACATATGCTGCTAAAGCTTTTTTGTCCGAGGTGTACTTAATGGAGGGTTTTTAGGATTTCATTACTGGGGCATATTTGCTGACGCACAAAGACACATTCCTCACGTATAGTGAGGTAAGGAGAGCTTTATGAACTTAGTTTCCTTCACTAATTCGCTTCATGGCAGGCTTGTCGATTTGCTGCAGCAGTCATCGACTGTTATGCGAAGAAGCAGAAACGGATACGCTTGCCACCACCAGCTATCATCAAACCTGCTCGACTATGGACTGGAAAGCAGGTATTCGGTGTAGATTATGTTTGTGCATCTTGAAGCCCTTCCATTCAGCTCATGCAACTCATTATATCTGATGACTTCAAAAATCCACGAAAATTGAATCTAGTCACGCCCAACAAGAGCTATACCGGTGGTAGGGAGTTTTGTGTCAAGGCAAGTTTAGTCTCTTTTTATCTATTTCCAATAACCATCTGTTCTTGAGGATTCTTACGTTATCATACGCAATGGAGAGCATCTCGCTGGAGTTTTGGATAAGTCGCTGCTGGGTTCTGGTTCGAAAAAGAACATTTTCTACATCTTATTGCGGGACTTCGGTGAAGATGCCGCTGTCGAGGCTATGTGAGTTGAAGCTGTCTTCCTGAAAACAGAACTTATTTCTCAAAGAGGCACTTGCTTGCGCTTTACACTTCTTCCTTTTAAGAGCGTCAAGACTGCTGAGTTTTTCTAGAACGAGTAAAGAAGTTTAGGTGGAGGATCGCGCGAATGACGCCAGTGTTTTTGTCAAATCGCGGGTTTTCGATTGGAATAGGCGATGTGACGCCTAGTTTACAACTGCTCAAGGAGAAGAAACATCTACTTGATGAAGGTTTGCAATCCTGTACTCCAGTCTGCAACGGTCAGCTTTTTGTTTAGGATACCGGAAATGTCATGAGTATATTGCACAGCTAAAATCTGGTCAGCTCAAAGCTCAGCCTGGATGTACGGATGAGGAAACCCTGGAAGCATTGATCCTGCGTGAGTTGTCGTCCATTCGTGACAAAGCTGGTAAAGCCTGTGTGGACAATTTATCAAAGTGAGTCTGTTTTTTGCAAACGCTCTGTTGACACGCTACCGGTAACATTCAGGCACAATGCTCCATTGATCATGGCAGTTTGTGGTTCAAAAGGCTCCTTCATTAACATTTCACAGATGATTGCTTGTGTTGGTCAACAAGCTATATCTGGGCATCGACCTCCGGATGGCTTTGATGTAAGTCAGC